TCGACATGTAGAGAACAATATCATACAACACGATATTGTTATTTAAATAATTCAATAAAAAATCGTGAAAATCACGGTTTCTTGTAGTTAGAGTAAGATTGTTTTAATATATCCAAACCAACTCAAATTTAATCTCCCTTTTAGAGAATATGTCAATCAGTATTTGTTTGGTATTTGTTCCATTTCACGACTGAAAATCTGTTTCAGTCATCAATGTAGATTCAACTGAATGTAGATTCAACACCTCTGCCTGACAGCATTTCACTGTTGATTCAATCATATTTTGCCATCTGAGATGCAACACAGCCGTGACAACGACACACAGTCACTGTGAACAAGAGAATGATTTTCTTGAGGCGGACCATTCTCAGTTCATCCGTCTCAATTGGTAGAGAGTGTAGGCGTTTAAATATGTCTCCATCCAACCCAAATTGCATCCATTAACGGGCCCACTGCGGATGATTTGAGCTCACAGAAACATCCAGAGCAGATACAGTCATTTATAATTCAGTGGGCCTTTTTGTTCGACAGAAAAACTTGCCCGAGAGCTAAATGTTCAGCCTTGAGATTATATCAAAGATGTGGAGAGAAATGTGTTCAGCAGCTATCATGACAACCAAACATGCAAGATTTTCTCCAAGTCGAACCTCAACAAATCTCCCTGCAACATAAATATTGATGTTTGAATCTGAACATCCATTAAAACCAGCCCTGTGGCATTCCGTGATAAACGAACATGATGTATAGCATTCTGAAAGTTAGCATTTAGTTAACTACTTAAATGCTACATTAACCTTTTATCAACGCCAACTGCAAGCCAGACATGGAATCTACTCACTCCAGTGCGAATGTGTAAGTTCACACCTAAACACTCAAGTGACATAGCCTACTAATGTATTGTTCCACAGAGTTACATTTATACTGGCAAAACCTCTGTTCCACTGACAGCCATCAGACATCCAATTGAGGAAATGTCATTTCCCCAAGACTCATAAAATTACTTCCAGCCCAACTGGCCACGATAAAGGATCTGAGGATTTCATATTAGTGACATTTTAATCTGGGTCTAGGTTAATTAAACATTTAAAAAGGGCTTGAAATCAATTAAATGACATGAAAACTTGATTCAAGAGCAGAGAGAGCTTCGGGACATTGGAGGCTTTTCACGGGTAGCTGTCCTGCAGATAAAAATCGTTCAACTTCCACATGATGGGACTCTTCAACTACCACTCTTCCTTAATGGAACTGACAATGGTTGTAAGCTTCGTCATAAAACACTAAAATACTGTTTTAATGAGACTTCTTCTGGATGCTCAACAGCCTGTCGCTAAGCCTGTGGCTCCGAAGCCATTCCTTTTTAAGCATCTACCATTTTAGCCTAAGTTCATTATCCTTAAACACATTGGAGCCGAGATGGCTGGGGTGAAGGTCTCTGTGCTTTCAGTCCAAAGCACTGGGACATACAGAACAGGCCATTTTTTACAATGACCTACCCCTTGGTTGCTATAGAAAAGTGTTGACACAGTTTTCCTGTTTGACTAAATTCCCCAAAATAAAGTCATAATATTGGACAAGCTTGATAAGATTTAGTGCTATTCATTAGTTGCAATACTTTTGACATAATGTGCAATATGTCAGAGTAGAGAAACATGTTGTGAAAGACTTGCAGAAAAAAAGACTAGATTGGAAAGGTTTGTGCGGACAGTTTCTTTTTCTTTTTCTTTATAAGGCTGCTTTGGTTGCGTATTACAAGTCTCCTTTCAAATGTACAGCTCACTTTCAAGTCTTCTGAAATCACATTTTACTGACAAATGTGTCCCATATCATACCAACAGGCAACTCTGCAAATGAAAACCCTAACTCAACTATTAGAAACATACTCTCCAAAGTGTTTACAATTCTGGGATGAACTGCAACAAAAGATTATTTTCATTTATAAGGCTGTCGATTACGTTTTCTACTAACTGATTCTAGTGCAAAGAAGGCTCTGAACCAAAGAAGTCATATCATAAGTGGGGATGGGTATCATTAGGATATAATTGGCACTGATACTCTTACTGTTACTACTAATTTGGCACAAAAAATAAAGATATGACATGAAAAGATGTGAAAAGAATCAACAGTTATTTTGTTAATAGGTATTTGCAGAAATAAGGCCAATTGTTTCCCAATTTATAGCATTTAGCTGCATTTTTATTCAATTTAGTAGAAGTTGGGACCAGACGTACCGGACAGTTTTTGATACCTATCCCTAATCACAAGTTCCCATAGCCCAAGGCAATGTCTTCAGTTTGCTTGTTCTGTCCCACAAATCAGTCCAAAGCCCTAGAAATATTCTTTGTACTTTGTTTTGTTAAAAGTAACAAATCCTCACATTTTAGTGAGCTTCCCCTCAGGCGGACACTGGACAGCTAAACCTATTTTTGCAACGCTTCTACAAACTTTAGCTTGTATTCAACACTTTTTGCAAGCAGTTTGAACCCTCAACAGGAGAGAAATCAGTGAAAACGGTCTCCAACCTTCACGCTTTGTCGTGATGATGCTCTGTCTTTCAGAAACACAGTCAATCACTCCTTCTGATGGCTGCAGCCCACAGACAACCTGCAGTGCCATCTGGGAGCCTTGCCAAAAGGAATGTCCATCCACAGGGGTGACTGTGTGCGAGTGTGTGTGAATGGTTGTGTCTGAGGCCATGCTGCCTACTGAGACAATCAAATCCACAGTGACAGCAAGTGGGCAAAACAAAGAGTCATTCTTCTCTCACAATTCAGCAACTTTCGGCCTGTCAAAGAGTCAAAAGACGAGGACTGCAGACAAAGAGAACTCTGCGGGACACCAGAGAGGGAGAGAAAATAAGCTCAGGAAAAGCTGATTTAGTTTTCCAGACAAACCTGCAGCATACCTGAGCCAGAAAATGAAAAGTTATTCAGCCCACACACTGTGGTCTTGGACATTTGTACCAACTATTTTGGTTCTCGCTCAAGTCCTCAACATATGCCCAAGTTGATGCCAAATGCTATTTAAGACCAGAAAAAAGGGGAAGAAGGGGGATGTGAAATGCATCTAGTGCACTCACCATCTGTCGCGTCGTGCTCGCGACTGCAGCGGCCGCCGCTCCCACCTCAATGTGCAAAGTGAAGCTTTCAGTGTGACGTTTAGTGAAGATGTCTGGGCCGACAGGGCAGCACCGGGCACCGAGCCAGAGCCTTACAAATTTACACAGCTCATTTTATAGAGCGGGCACAGAGCCTGAGAGCCATGCCACATACCCAAACGCCACCACACTCACACCCATAAACACTAACCGGGATACAGCAAAAGCTCAAGAAAAAGAGGGTGAAATATACTATCCATATCCGGCCTCGACACTGCTCTGTTAATGGAAGAAAGGCCAACTGGTGAGCCGAGCTCTCGGCTTCAGACGGATCGCCACACAGAGCGATACTGACAAAGCTTTCCACCATGATCAGGCAAAAACCAGAAAGGCCTTTTCATTAGAAGAACCCCCATCTCTTCCTTTAGTATTGAGTCAATTTGCAGGAAGCCTGCTCAGCGTCTTTGCAAAGTCAGGAGAGCTTAGTGCCACAGAGCTGAACGACAACAGCTGACTCATGCACCGGGCGGCTCATCCAAAGTGAAAGAGACAACTATCTTGCAGATTCTTCCCTCACACTTTCTTACAGTAGGCACAACGTTACTGCAATCATCTTGTTCCAAGTAATCACACTGATGAGGACTATAAGAGCGACTGGTGGTGAGAGCAAATGTTCTAAACAGCCAGGCACAGACACTTTAGCTGTATTCTTCTTGTTACGTCAGCCATATGCTCTTGTTTCCTGCTCAATCTGTTATGATCTCACTCCAGTTTTATCTGATTGGACATAAACTCTGAATCTAAGGCTTCATTGCAGTTTTTGCAAAATGGTTATGCGTTGAATAAAGCTTGTTTCTTAAAGCTTTTAACAAATCAAGGGTTTAATGCAGAGTGGTTACACCGGAGCAGAACAGCAGTTATGTAAGCTGCGGACATATTTACATTAATTTGTGCTGAGAGCCTTTCATTAGACAGATAACCCTCTGAGGATGTCAACCTGGCAGCAGTCAATTAGTTATTTTTCAAAAATAGAGAAATGGCCATTATAATCATTTGTTCAAAACGACTGAGTGGAGAATTGGGTGACGTTTTTAAAAGTCCTTATTAAGCTCAAACAACTGCATTGTGTCTAGACGCAAATGAGCTTAAAACCATGCTGGCATTTTTTTTTTATTAAGTGCACAATTTATCAACATCCGCCCCTGACATGAGGCCACTCTGTCCCCACTGCATATCTTAGAGAGGTTGGTAGGGTTATTAGAGCCAGTTGCAGTTTGGAATTTGTATAGCTCCAATTTTTATGATTTTCTCATTGAACATTTGACTCTAGGGATGGGCAGTCGGTCGGTGAGTCAGTCAGTGAGTCAGTCAACCACTCTGGTCCAAACTAAGATATCTACAGTATAACAACTACTGGATGGTTTTCTACATACATTGATGGTCCCCAGCAGATGAATCCCAATGACTTTGGTGATCCCGACTGCTAATCTAGCGCCACCATGAGGTTAAGATTTGAATTTGTCCAGTGCTTTGGTTTATGACTCAATACCTGCAAAACTAATCACATTCCTAACAGCCTCAGCTGTACTTATGTGTTTACAGCTAACTGGAAAATGTTACCATGCTAACATGCTAAA